AAAGAATAGTGAAATTTTAATTATAAAAAAAGAATAGTGAAATTTTAATTTAATTATAAAAATATGTTGGTGGGCCGGCCCTCCGGGCCGAGCCCAGTTTGCCACCTCTAACTATTAGCATGTAATAGGTTTTTATATTTATCCTAAAAAAAAGCTCTTATAGTTGCGTCTAGGTTTTTATATTTTATCTCACAGATGAACTTTCATTTATTACAATTAGATTTACAAAATAATAATAAATATTTTTTTTGCAAGGATTTGTGTCGTTAGTATTTGAAATTTTATAAATTAGTATTTACAAAAATTGAAATTTGAATTAGGAATTTAATTATAAAAGAAGAATAGTGAAATTTTAATTTAATTATTAAAACGTGTTGCAGGCGGGGTTGACAGGCCCTCTGGGCCAAGCCCAGTTTGCAACATTTAACTATCAGCATTTTATGTAAATAATTATTTTTTTGAAAGGATTATGTCATTAGTATTTTGAATTTTACAAATTTGTATTTACAAAAATTAAAATCAGATTTAGGAATTAATTATAAAAGAACAATGATGAAATTTTAATTTAATTATAAAAAAGTGTTGCATGCAATAGATTTTTATATTTATCCACAAAAAAGGTTCTTATCGTCACATTTAGGTTTTTATATTTTATCTCAGAGATGGACTTTCATTTATTACAATCAAATTTCAAAAATATTAATAAATAATTATTTTTTGCAAGGATTTGTGTCGTTTCTATTTGAAATTTTACAAATTTACAAAAATCAAAATAAGATTTAGGAATTTAATTATAATAGAAGAAGGATAAAATTTTAATTTAATTATAAAAATATGTTGGTGGGCCGGCCCTCCGGGCTGAGCCCAGTTTGCCACCTCTAACTATTATGATGTAATAGATTTTTATATTTATCCACAAAAAAGGCTCTTATAGTTGAGTCTAGATTTTTATATTTTATCTTAGAGATAAAATTTCATTTTACAATTAGATGTACAAAAAAAATAAAAAATAATTATTTTTTGCAAGGATTTGTGTCGTTATTACTTGGAATTTTATAAATTTGTATTTACAAAAATTAAAATCTGAATTAGGAATATAATTATAGAAAGAATAATAGAATTTGAATTTAATTATAAAAACGTGTTGGCGGGCGCGACAGGCAGACCTTCTGTGCCAAGCTCAGTATGCAACTTTTAACTATCAGCTTCCTTATATTTTTTGCTTAATCTATAATTTTATATTAAAATTTAAATTATATATATATATATATCTTTTTCCCATTACAGAAACATTAAATGCTGAACTCTTTTTTCACTTATTAAATTCAAAATTCAAATTTAAGAAATTAGGATTTTAAATGTTAAATAATTTTCCACCCAATAAACATAATAATTAATATTATTAATAGGTTTAATAATTTTCCATACAGAAAGTAGTGGAAAAAATGCATAGAAGAATGTGCACATTCTCCAAGTAATAATTTCTAGTTTTCATTTACAATATAAGAAATTGTGTTTTTTTTTTAATCTTACATCAAAAGAATGAAAGCTTAATTTCTTTCAAATATATTAAAGTAAAAATCGTATTATTATAGTGATTAAATTTTATTTTTATTTTTTTACAAATGATAAATGTCATTTTTTATTTTTTGTTTAAATTCTTTTATTTTCATTGTGCATACTTTTTTTATATTTGTAACACAAATATGATGAACAAACATGAGTTGATACAAAAAGTATTCTACTAAATCGAATGTTTGAGGAATTGAATTGAATTGCATTTAATATAATCAAATATTTTTGTATTAATTAGACATACTTTTGAAAAATTTAATTTTTTTCTCTTTAATTTATAATTTTTATACTTTTTAATATTGGTTATACATATATATTTAAAACGTTTATGTTAAAAAAATACTTGTGTGGAAATATTTTTCAATTTTTGTATTTCGATTTAGTAAAATTTTAATTTATTTAATATGTCATTTCTAATTTTTTTCATTTAAATTTCAAATTTATATTATTTTTTATCAGCTATACATATTTTTTTATAAATTTTGAATGATTTTTTGTTTAATCTATAATTTAACATATTAAATTTAATGTTACTATATATATATATTTTCACTACAGAAACATTAATGCGGAATTCTTTTTCCACCTATTAAGTCAAAAATTCAAATTTAAAAAGTTTGAATTTTGAAATATTAAATATTTTCTCACTCAATAGACATAATAATAAATATTATTAATAGATTTAATATTTTTTCATACTAAAAGTAGTGGGAAACATGCATAGAAGCTTGTGTATATTCTCCATGAAATGATGGATTTTCCATTTTTAAATAATATTGGTAATGCACATTTCACCTTCCAACAAAATAATTAAAAATCTTACAATTCCAATGTAAAATGATAGTGAGACATTAATTTGATGTCTGCCATTAATACTTTAATTTCGATATTTAATTTACTTAAAACTTAATTTTTAGTTATTTATTTATTTTCAAAATTGGCAAGCAAGTGAGAACACGCAGGAGGCAGAAGATTAAGCGCCTGGATAGTTTGAAGGTTATAAGAAAATATCAAATGATGAGTTTTCCATTTTCAAGTAACATTAATAAAGAACCTTTCATCTTCCAATATAACAATTAAAAACCTTACAGTTCCAATATAAAAATGATAGTGAGTCATTAATTAGATGTCTCCCACTAATTTCTTAATTTCGATTTTTGATTTAATTAAAATCTTATTATGTAATTTTTTTTTAAATTGACATGCAAGTGTGAACACAAAGCTGAAACTACATGATTATTTTAAGTTAAGATTTTAATTTACTTTATTTTAAAGTATATTTTTATAATTTTAAATATTTTTTTCGTTTAATTAATAATTTTTTATTAAAATTAAATTTATTTTATACATATTTTTTTTCCAGTTTATAATTAATTCTAATATGTATAATAATTAAGACCAATAGACATAATTATAACTATCATTAATATGCTTAATAATTTCCCATGCAGAAAGTAGTGGACAATATTAAATGTTGAATCTTTTCTCACCTCTCAAGTTCAAAATTCAAATTTAGAAAGTTTAAATTTTAAGTATTAAACATTTTCCCTTTCAATAGACATAATAATAAATTAATAGACTTAACAATTTTCTATGCAAAAAATAAAGGGAAACATGCATAGAAGTCTGTGCACATTTTGCAATCTCCAAGTAATAGCTTATAGGTAATCATTCGCTGACATAGGAAATTGTGTTAATTACACTCTTACATCAAAAGAATGAAAATTTTATTTCTTTCTATTATATTTAATTTTAAAATTTAAAATTCAACATGATAATAGAATTAATTATACATACTTTTGAAAAAATAATTTTTTTCTCTTTTAATTTATATTATATATATAAACATTTAAAATATTTATCTTAAGTATTTTTTTAAAAATTTCTTGTACGAATTTTTTTTCCTTTTTGTATCATTATTTTTAGTTCAGATTTTAATTTTCTTTATTTTAAAGTATATTTTTATATTTTTAAATATATTTTTGTTTAATTAATAATTTTTATTAAAAATAAATTTATTTTTTACATATCTTTTTTCCAGTTTTATAATTAATTCTAATAGGTATAATAATTAAGACTAATAGACATAATAATAACTATCATTAATATGCTTAATAATTTCCCATACAGAAAGTAGTGGACAATATTAAATGCTAATCTTTTCTCACCTCTCAAGTTCAAAATTCAAATTTAGAAAGTTTGAATTTTAAGTATTAAATATTTTCTCTCCCAATAGACATAATAATAAATTAATAGACTTAACAATTTTCTATGCAAAAAATAAAGGAAAACATGCATAGAAGTCTGTGCACATTTTTCAATCTCCAATTAATAGCTTCTAGACAATCATTCGCGACATAGTAAATAACAAATAAAAAAATCAAAATTGAAAAATTAAAAGAGAGTAACCCATATCTTCTTCTTCCATCTAATATACTCACAAACCGTTCTTCTTCTTCTTAACCTTAATTTCATTGAGGATGTTGGTTTTGTGGTAGATTGTTTGCTTTCACAGCCTTCATTAGTAAGATATAGATTGCTCTTTTGCTTATCGGGTCTCTGATCCTTACTTTAGTGATAAGTTGCATATTTTGGTTGTCTTTTCTTTTCTTGTAATCATTGCCATTTCTTCTGTTCTGTTTGGGTTTATTTGCTGAGTGTTATTTCTGTGCGTCCAATGTCCAAAAAATTTGATGAAATGGAAGAAAGAAAAAGAGAAAAGGCTTTAGGAGAAAGGAGAAAAGAAAGAGATTTTTTTTTTTGTCAGGGTGTCACTTCCTTAATGGAAGGACCGTCAAAAGTCCGGAACACTCTAAATCTTTCCCTACTTAGTACTTAGTGTTTCTAATTAGGAAAAAATTAGTATATTATATTTTCTATTTATTAATAATAAAAAAGACAAAAAATATATTTAATTTGTTTATTATATTAAATTTGAAGACGTAAGCATGTGAATAAAATATGTAACATAAAGTGTTAAAAACTTAAATGAATATTAATTGATTTGTAAACTTCTCGATATCAAAATTTGTATTTATTAGTATTTTAAAATTTTTTGTTGATTAATCTATTTTTAATTGAAGGAGTCATATTAGTATGAATTAATCATCTATTGAGAAAACAAACTTTATTCCATAAATGTAGTGAGTATTGATGGGCCAAATTCCATAGGCCCACTATAACACAGGCTAATCCAGGCCCGTTTATAGTTGCAGTAGTGAAAGCTCACTTGACCTTGTTCTTCCAAATCCTTATTTGTTCTTCTCCATCTCCATTTCCCTCTTCTCGATAGTGAGGCCGAGTCTGGTCATAAGACTCATAACCATATCATAGTTTCAGTGAAACTTTCCACAGGTTCATCTTTTTTATTTTAATTGCATTTCCACAAGTATATAGTTTCGTTCTTAATTTGGTTTTATTTTGTTTTTGATTCTCGTTATTTATAAGTTAGATTAGAAGAAAATTACTCTATTTAGACCTAGATAAGATACAACTCTGTTAATTTCCAATCCTATATTATGTATCGTGCTGCACCTGTGCCTTTCTCTGGTAGGGATTATAAAGGCTAAAATAATATTTTGAAATCACATGAATCGTGATTCGATTCATGGCCACACGTAGACTCTGGTTGGTGAGTGTGGTGGGAGGTGAAGCACACCTCAAATTTGCGCGTCTGAGATGGACAGTGGGCAGAGGCGGCTGAAAAATGGTTTTCTTCCGGGACTTGTAAGAACACAGAGAGAACTAGAAAAGGGCACGGAGAAACCCTAACAATTGATGTGCCTATAAAATAAGGAAATAAAAGTATAAGGAAATTAATGTGCATAGGAAACAAAATAAAAATGAAGTTATTTGTTTCTACACTTATTTTCATTCTTTTTTAAGTGAAAAATGGATTTTTTAATATTATTTTTAACAATTTATCATGTATCTACAATTGATGTTCACTATATATTTCGATTCACCATTCAAAAAATATGACTTTCTATTCGTGTTTCAATATTGATTTGATAACCATGCAAAAAGAAAAAGAAAACCAGCATTATAACTTGAAAAACTGTTTGAAATCAATTCTCTGGGGTATTGATAACATGGCTAGGATATCTACTTGAATTGCTAGCTATGTACTTCATTCAATTGCTAGATAATCACACTGGTTGTGGAGTGTTATGTTTCTCAATGTTTTTATACTTTTTCAAGGTCTAATATGGTATTACAGGCACGCTTTAGGGCTCATCAGTACTTGTTATCATGTTGTTATTTGGTTATTAATGGTTTCCGGAGGATATGTATATGATAGGTTATTGGTTTTTTTTTCTTCAGAAATCATGAAGGTGCGGTCAGCTGTGAAGAAGATGTGTGAATATTGTCGGACAGTTAAGCGCCGAGGACGTGTCTATGTGTTGTGCACAGCTAACCCTAAGCACAAGCAAAGACAAGGCATGTCAACATTTGCAAATGAAGGGACATCTCATCCGGTGTATGTGTTCTTTTTTCCTAGTTTTGAACTGCAATGTCTGCCTGGGGTATGAATAAATTGTTCGTTCATGCTTGGTGGGCGTGTTTAAATTCAAACCAACAGTGACTATTATGTTTTAGCGAAATCATATTTTAACTTAATCTTAGTTCTTTTGAATTTCCTGTTTTGAACTCCATTTGCTTTCTCTATCTGGCATACATGCACTGATGCACACAGTGCAAATGGCATCGTTGATTAGCAAGAATTTTCTTCTTCTTTGCTCATTTTCACTATATGTCATAGAGAAGATTTATTTATTTTGATATGCTAGGATATTAACTCGTGAATATGCAAATGCTGCTAAACTTGTTTCTGTTTCATGTACTCTTAATGCATATTGAATTCCAGCAATGTGATTGCTAAAATCAATTCAGGTCCTTGGAGATAAGCAGCTCCAAGAAGGAGATTAGGCCTACTCATATCTTGCGAACGGGTCTGGCTTCTATTATTCCACAAAGGCACAGCCTGTCTATGTTGTATGGATGGAGGGTGGGTCTGGCCTCTATTCTGTCCAAGAAGTAGAAAGATAATTAGCAACTTTCGATCCAATTATTACAAAGAATAAATATGAAGATATTGATCAGCAACGGTTATATATTAAGGCAGCCTTTGGCTTGTTCTCTTTCTTCCTTGTATTGGTTGATGAAGTTGTCTCTGTAAACTTGTTTTGTTCTGCACTATATTTGATGTACCGCACTTGTGTATTTTGTTTATCCGTCAAGAAGATGGTCAACGAAGGTACCGTTAGAGTATGTTTCGGTGTTCAGTGAATCGGTGGAACACAACTAATACGCGTGCACCTCTAAAGACGAGAATTTTTTTGCAATGTATTGTTATCAATGTATCTCACATTTTTCTGCTACTAGGTGCACCGCTCTCTTTTAATCCTACGTAGCTTTTTTTGTGTTAGTCATAATGATCTGAATTGTCTGATATGGGTTGGAGCTGCAGAAGGCAGAAACCTTGTTCCCCCTGACCTTGCAACTAGTCGGTAGGATTAATTAAGCCTTGTTGTTTGATCAGTTTGTCATCTTGGGTGGAATTTGCAACCAGATAATGCCAATATTTTGCAATCTCATCCACTTAGAAGTTCGAAACTTTTTCTCGTAAACAATCATCTCTACTTTTATTGAATGTTTTTTTTATGAAAAATCTGCTCTGAATCTCGTATTATGTTCCGAAATCCGAATCCTTCTTTCCCCAGCTCGGAAGTATTTTTCAATTCATGTACCATCTTTTACTAGAATTAAAACTTATAACCAACGGCAAAGGTGAGGAAAAATCCTGAAGAATTTCGCATATCAATTCCCGAGAATTCGGGAATTTTGCATACCCATGGGGCGTTTGGTAGAAGAGAAATTTTTTTTTGTCCGGGAATCTCAATTTTCAAAATTATGATTTTTACGTTCAATTTACGATAATATTTAAAAATTAAAAATTTAAAAAAATTCAATTTCTTAAAAATTTTGAAAAATATTGCGTACCAAACGCCCGTTAAGAGATAAAGATTATATATGCTCTCTGTGATAATGGCAGGGTTCCATAGAGGCATGCTGAGCCCAATTTGAATTGATTGAAACATGATGACAGAGTGATATGATTAGAGAGATATTATTAAAGATTTTAAATAGGATCGCATTATTGAGTCTTGTCAAAATTTGTGAAGATGGGTTGGTGTTCCATAAGGCAAGCTGAAAAAAATAATATACGCTCTTTGTGATAATGCCAGTGTTATTGGTCTTTTCTTCATATAAGAAAAAACGTGGGTCCATACCCCACAACTGTGTGGGTTCAAATTTCATTGGAAAAAATTGGGAGTTTTTTCTGATCTTAACGAGATATCGGTATTTTTTTTTTTTTGGTAAGCATATTGATATCTAATACCACTTAAACTTTTACTAAAACAAAAAAAAAAAAACAATAGAATTGCAGTACTTCTTGGATCTTCAACATTAGTTTCCAGTGGGTAGGGGCGACACTTGGGGAAAAAAACTAAAATGGGTACAGAGTAAGAAAAAGAAGAAACTGCACGCTAAAATAGAGAGCAATAGACACAGGCAAAAAGGACGGAGTTTCCTTCTGCATTGAATCAGATGCGTCTCACTTTCTCTCTTTTCAACTCCGTATTGGGCACCTTTGATTTGGGTATGCAGTAATTTTGCATTTCAAAATGTTTTAATATTTTTTAAAGGTCAAATGTTTTTGTGCCTTTTTAAAATAAAAATAAAAACTACATCTTGTGAATTTCTTATTTAACGTTTTTAATTTGGGGGAGAAAAAAAGTTAAAAAATATATATATATTTTTTTATAAATGTTTTTCAAAAGAAGGGAAAAGAAAGAAAGAAAAACTATTCAAACATCCTCAATTGTTTCCGTTGAATCAATCATTTTTATTTATAACGGGTAATGCGACAAATTCGGTAAAGAGAAAAGAAACAGGCAACACTATAAATGGGATGGGTGAATTATTATGGTCTTAGGTATTCGTCAGAGTAAGAGCCAACAATAGAGGTAACATTAATTTTTGGTATTCAAACCTCATGGTTTATTTTCATTTGGGTACAAAACCTAAACTTTCTTGCGTATTACCATAGACGACGATTGTGTGTCATAAAAAAAAAAAAAAAAAAAAAAAGAAAAGAATAAAAGAGAAGAGAGGTAAGTGCTTACTGGTATAATAATAGTATGTTGAGCGTCCGTTAAACGACAGTGGTAGGAGGCAGTGACAGACAGTAGTGCGTGCGTACAGCAGACACGATAAAGGCCAAACAACCCCCATAGAGCCATTTATCAATTTTCACTTCCAAAAACTCTCTCACTCGCTGGTTTTTTTTTTTTTTTTTTTTTTTTCGCCTTTGATTTTTCTCTTTGCAGTTTCTTGGCGCCGCAAAAAATCTATGTGGTGGTGTTGATTTTGGTTGAGATGGTGATGATTACTGCTTGGATCACTGACCTCTTTGCTTTCATGGGGTGAGCCCCCCTCTATTCCCAATTTTGCTATTATATAGTTTCATAGGTTTTTGCAATCAATTTCCTTGCTTTAGTTGAATTCAATGAATGACTTTCCCTTTCCGGCAAAAGGGCCTCTGTTGTGCAAATTTACTGCTCCGGTATCAATTAGGGACTGATTTGCCTTAACCTTTCAATTAATGATTTGGAATTATTTTCTTTCTCTATGAATGATTAAATGAGGGATGGAAGAAGAGAAAATGCATTTCTTTATCACCAGGAACTGGACATCAGTCTTCAACATATAATTGATATGGGAGCTTCAATCTCAATGATTAGTGGATGTAACTATTGACTAATATGTTAAAAACTTAGAGTAGAGTAGATTTCTACCTATAGCTCTCTTTAGTTATATATCTAATACTATTTGCTATTACAGTCTACTAGAGAGCTATAAGCGGAAATCTTGTCTTCCACCTTTAATTTATATGATTTAATGGGATAACTCTAAATTCTTATAGAGTTAATTTCTGTATTGTACATGGTCCATTAATCATTAGTGTCTTGAAATAGTATAGCAAAGAGCCAGCTCCAATATACTGCTAAGATGGCAAAGATGAAACATTGTGGGCTTATATTATTTTTCACTTTTCAACTATTGTGGATCAAGCAAACAAAGGCTGTTATGATGTTCTCGTGATGCAATGCTGTTGTTAAGCAATCAATAATATTGATTGTGTAGAAATTTCTCCTGGGTTTAGGGATTGTTTGGCTGTGCTGTGAAATCAATATAAACTGCTTTTTGGTTAAAAGAATAAAATAAAATTAGGTGTTGAAGCAAAGAATAAAATGCTTTTAAACAACAACAGAAGCAGAAAATTTGATATTGAAAATAAGCAAGAAATCGATGCTTCTCCCAGGAATCAAATAAAAAAGAAAGTTCTTTCTTATAGTGTTTTTATAGAAGTGCCTTTAAAAGGAAACAATAAAAAAATCACAGAAAGGCAACATGCACTTATAGACTTTTACATTGGCCTGTGATTTGCAGTTATTTAACTTGTTTTATAACAGAGCAGTGGTTGTTTTGGGTGCTGTATGAAACCCACACCAATTATTGCTGTTGATGAGCCAGCAAAGGGACTAAGAATTCAGGGGCAGACAGTGAGAAAACCAACCATATCAGATGGTTTCTGGAGTTCAAGCACTTGCGATCTGGATAATAACACCATTCTATCTCAAAGAAGTATCTCATCTGTCAGTACATTAAATCAAATTCTCTATCATAGCAATGGAACTTCTACTGCAGGAACCAATCCTGAATTTGTAAACCAAGGCAAGTTATATTCGGTCTTTGATTTCCTTCCGAGTAATTAATATTGGAATGTTCATCTATACTTTTAGCATAGCATAGCATAAGAGAATTTTTTGGGTAATATAACAAGGCCCTAAGGGACCTAGATAGGGAAGGGGGAAGTTGACAAGTGGGGTATCAAACTGCCATCCCATCAGACCCACTCATATGACCAAGGTTTGCTCCACAAGGGGGTTGGAACACAGCATATGATATATTTTACTCAGATTTGTCTTTGTTCATTATTTGGATACATTCATTGTTCTAATACCACTTTATTTTAGTTTACCTGTATACTGTTGTATATTATTTGTAAGATTTACTTTCTTTGCTTCAAAGGGAAAATAAATTTTGAGGTTAATTTCTATCATACATACACGCTGTTGTTCATTGCAGGTCTTCTTCTCTGGAACGAGAGCAGGCTTCAGTGGATTGGAAATGACAGATCTAGGAAGCAAAACGAACAAAAACGAGAACCCAGACTAAAGTATGTCAATTGCGTTACATTTGTCCCTCTTAATTGAGTACTCTTTAACCCACTGTCAATACATATAGGGGCATCATCTTAGATAGCTAAATTCTCTTTGGAGGAAGGGAGGAGGAGGAGGGGAGGGGGGGGGGGGGGGGGGAAACATGGGTGAATGGAAGGAATAACTAATAACCATCACATGTTTTTTGAGTCAGCTGCTTCTCGTCTGCCAATGAATTGGCTCTTTATTAATCACTGTACAACATTATTCTAGATACATCCTGATTCACTGCTTAACTATACATCTGTACCTTTGTTGATGTTCTTTCTTTTTTATTTTTGTCTATTTTTCTCTCTTATCTCTGAAATTTCACAATGGTTGAAAGCATAAGTTTTGTTTAGCTTTTGAAGCACATAGTTATCTAATCGAAATATTTTATTGATATCAGTTCTGTTTATATGGCTTTTTTCTTCCTTTTTTTATATTATGTTTATATGACTTTATACAAAAGTGTCCATCATTTGCGCTCTCCCTTTCTTTCTCAATTTCTACCCTGTAGTTGACTTAGTAGTCATTGTGTTTGTTACAGTTGGAATGCAACTTATGAAAGTTTGCTTGGGACTAGACAACCTTTCCCCAAGCCCATGCCTTTATCTGTGAGTGTCCTATGTATATTTATAGTTCCTTGCTTGGATTCTTGAGGTGAGAATGCAAAATTACTAATTGAAAACTCATTTTTCAATAAATAGGAAATGGTCGAATTCCTGGTGAATGTTTGGGAGCATGAAGGGATGTATGGTTGAGACTTGAGACGTTAAAAACGCTTAAGTTGCCTTTTAAGTTTATTTGTATTTAAACGCTGTACTTAACTCGTCAAAGGCTTTAGTGTACAGTTGTGCAGAGAAGATTAAAAGATCAAACACAAGTTTGATCTCCCATTGTAATTTCAAACGCTAAGACAATCATCTTGTCTTTGCCCTCCTGTAAATGGCTGTATACTATTTTCAAACTAAAATCTGAATGGCTGAATGCAGAACTTGTTACTGTTACCTGTAATTATGCATTTATCTACGAGTCAGGTTCTCGTTCACCCTTCGACTCCTTGTGTCATTTACCCCAACCCCTTCATGGTGCCTGGAGGTAATAAGATATCTGTTCTTTTTCCTTCTGAATATGTTTTTGCACGGTGTTAGGATTTAAGATTTCACTGTCGTTGATTCATTTTCTATTACTCTTTTTCTTATTGGTAAATTAGCTTTGTACCATATCATCTGCATGCCTAATTCTTTACTAGTAAGCACTAGTTGAGATGTGCATGCGTTAAATGACTTTTTTAAGAAAACTTACTACATACGTTAAATGGCTTTTCTAAGAAAATGTACTATATGTGTGATTTGTTTTGTACATGGTTTGCAAGAACATCGCCAGAAGCATTATTTAAAGGAAAAAAAGAGAGTCGGTTTTTGGACATTTGGTATAAAGTATAAACAGGTATTGACAATTTAAGCTGTGCATGAAAGAATTGGTGCCACTTATTTAAATTGTGGGGTAAAGAAGACGTGGATCAAATTTTGACCTGAAAATTTACAGGTATAAATTATTTAAAATAAGTTGAAATCATTGTAAATTTGGTGGTGATGACTCCTGTGGCTTCTTTCCAAGATTCTAGAGGGTTGGGTGTGAAGGCAATTTGTTATTCAAACTATAGAAGATGCAAAGGCAGAGTTAAATTTGGTGTCCCTAACTTGAATTGTGATGTACAGATGAATTCAATTAAATTACAATGTTGCATTGCACGCTGGTGCAGAAGAAGGACGGAAAAAAGTTTTTCACTATCATTGTACTAATGCGGTGTTGCTAATTTTAAAAGAAAAAATAGAAAAGCTTTTTTATGCAATTAGAAATTTTTTATTATTATGATGTGATGTTTTTTTGTTTATTGATAATGCAAAATATATGGGTTTAGGGGTTTTTTATTATTATTAAAAAAAATGGAGCTGAACAAAGTTATGAGCTAACGCGTAAGCGCGTTCTTTGTGGTATGAGTCATATGACCCTTAAGAGTAGACAAGTATTGGGCCAGCGGATATTAATCTCTCACGTGGCTGCTTTACAATATTCTAGAGGGCTAGAGGCAATGAGTTTTGGACCATACGTAGGTGAAGTGTCATATTGTCTTAAGAATTTGAACACGTACCTACCTTCAATATTATGGTTGGAAATATTAATTATATCAGTTATTGTTTCATATCAAGCCATAAGAACTATTTAGATTTTCTAATTTTAGTTTGCATAACTTTCTCTATCAAACTTCAAAAGTAAATTAGTCTATATGCATGTAAATCAACTAATCAAACACGACTTGACTTTATGTAAGTTCTAAGAGGCAACATAATGAAATTACATAGAATCATCTGGAGTTAATTTGATGACTATTCAGATTTAACTACATAGTGCATATTTTAATTGAACGAGTGTATTATTATCAGAATAAGAAATGAGAATTTGCCTTATGTTTTTTGCATGTGCTTGGCGAAGTTACAGCAATTATGTCTCCTGGTTAAGATATCTAAAGACCATTCCTCAAGGTTTGTGGAGGAGAGAGACCATTCTTAACCGTGGCGTGAGAAAATATATGCTAAAGCAAGAATCTCCAAAATGAAAGATCTCTTGCAATCACAACCCTCCTCTGACATTGAGATAATATCAGATATGGCTTACTTTTGTTGAATTTTCAATTCATTTACTCAATTTTCTAAGCCCGGATTCGCTTTCGTGTCTCTACTCTCTACCATTCTAGCTTATGTGTGCGCCTCCAAGATTCAGAACGCAATTCAAGAAATCAAGCTCACCGAATGAATCTTGACAAAACCCAAAATAATTTTGCCAATGATCACGCAACTCAAGTATTGATTCAATTTGAGATACTCATAACTCATAATATTGCATTTTATTATTTCTATTGCTAAAAAAAAAAATTGGTCAATAGGTGCGATGAATCTTGCATAAAAGCTAGTCCTGTACAAGAAAAATTGTGTGAAAGAATGATATGATATAACACCAAACGTGTAACTAAAATATTTCCCCATTGACAAATCCCAAACTAATTTTGTCAATGATCACACAACTCAAGTTTTGATTTAATTTGAGAAAAGCAATGATATTGAATATTATCATTATTATTTTCATTATTTCAATTGCTAGAAGAACTGGTCAATAAGTGCGATGAATCTTGCACAAAAGCTGATCCGGTCCAAAAAAAATCGTGAGAGAATGACATAACACCAAATCTGAAACTCATATTTTCCCATGTTATACAGGGAGAGTGACCATTTTCTCACGTTTGGACAAAAAAATTATCAGCCTACCACGCCAACAGTAAATTTTGCCAAAATGACACGCGGCATAATTCGCTACACAGTGTAGCGAATTATGCATGCAAGTAATTCGCTACACAGTGTAGCGAAATATGCCACGTAAGAACCAAAAATGCCACATGTCAAATTTTGAAAAATTCGCTACCCTATGTAGCGAATTTTGCAAAATTTGACATGTGACATTTTTGGTTCTGTGCGTTCTGACGTGACATATTTCGCTACACTGTGTAGCGAATTACTTGCATGCATAATTCGCTACACTGTGTAGCGAATTATGCCGCGTGGCATTTTGGCAAAATTTACTGTTAGCGTGGCAGTCTGGTAATTTTTTTGTCCAAACGTGACACTTTAATCACTGTTCCTGTTATATACTTGCGTGTGATTTCACTACAGTAACGATTTATTTAACTCAAATAAACCTGTGATCTTCCCAATTCCAACAGCTTCATGCGAGGTAAATGTTATATTAACAACCTTTTGAGTTTAATTTTGATATGTTATAATTGTAAAATTTTCCATACTAACACTTCATTATATATTGTTGCGAACACCTATTTTTGTGTTTAAAGAAGTAAAAAAAGAAGAGAGCAACTAAAATTAAAGAGAAAAGGGAGATGGAGTCATTTGGGAAAAAAATGCAAAGATAAAAGGGGAATGAGTAGGTCATGTTCCGGCTTTGATATCTCATTCATCCACCGTTCAATTATGTGATAGGTTATACTTATCATATTTTTTTATCATCTCTTATAATTTATTTTATTATCGTTGGATTAAAATCAAATCAATGCCTCTGACTTAATGTCATTATCATCATTGATTTAATTTTAATCTAACAATAACAATATTGGTTATAAGAAATGGTAAGTACCTCCTTCATTTTTTGTATGATTAGATTTAGAGTTTACTTTTAATCCATGGTAGGTGTTAAACATTTTTATATTATCATTTAATTCGAAGCTGGTTCTTTATTTAATGAGTTTAAGTATGTTAATACTTATATAAAATGAAAAAAAATTATCTGATGCAACAACGTTTCATTATATACTAATATAACACTGTTTTACACTAACATTAATTACGTTAAAATTAATTTAAGTTTCTCTTTAAATTTGTTCACAGAATCACTTCAATGTTTTGTTATGAATTCTATAAAATTCACCATCGTCACTGCGACAATCAAATTTGCTTTCATATTTATTTTCATATATTTTATTAGTAATTTTATATATAAAAAATATTTTTAATTTTAACATTAAAATAATATATTTAATTAAAAATAATTTTTACATACTACATTCAAATACAAAATAATTTTAATTTTTGAAAAAAATTCTTTTAAAATAAATAAAGTATAATTTTTTTTTCTAAAGCTCATCTAAACGGCCTTATTGTCTTCTTTCAATATTTTTTTAAGTGTTATTCATATAGTGTTATTCTGCCAATTTTCACCATATATATTACTTTTGAGTTATAAACTTGATCCATATCTTGATAGGTTACGGACGATATAAATAAATAGGGATGAGATATTATACCTACTTTTTTACATGTCTATTCTCTTATTTATCTCTAATATTGTTAGAATAAAATTTCAACTAACTTTCATTTTTTCTCTTTAGTACTATTGAGATTATGATCTTTTAACAATATTATAAATGAGTAAATACAATATGAAAAAAAACAGGCATCATATCCTATCCCGAATAAATCAACTAAAATCAATTGCCGACAATTACTTTTAACATAAATCTATGAAACTTTTTGTGAATGTAATTTTCTATTTAGACAATTTTCCCATGTAGGTGTGCATTCAGTCAATAATAACGACTGTACAAATACAATGAAATTAACGTGCAAAATGCACACAAAAAAGTGTATAATGCAGGTGCGTTGTTTATCGGATAATAAGTCCAAAAAAGTGGCTGGTTGGTTCAATTAATAATCAGTATCAGATTTTGAAAACGTAATGATATTTCCTCATTTTCTTTTTATGTTTTTAATAATAAAATATGATAACTATATTTCTCAACATATATATTTTTAAACACGTATTAGTGTAAAAAAAAAAAAAAATTGTATGAAAATCATCCCCTTTTTGAAAACTGGGGCTATTGATAATTTGATAGGCTATACAATGTATGTGGTCTTCTGACTGTTCTCTGAATGAACACATACCTATTTGACCGCATCGTTTTTCTTAGCCTTTGATCATCATTCTGTTATTCCTCTGTGCATTAAACTCGACGCCGGCCTCCAATATACTTGCATGTTACATGAACCATTCGAGTTTTACCATTCTCACATTAATTTCAATGCAATTTTGAAGAACTTTCTCTAAAACTTGTCTTTGAGGCTGGAAAATAATATATGATAATTTCTTTCCTGGTCGATCGGTTGAAATGTGTTTTGGAAAATAATACACTGAACCGATTCTAACAAATGGAATTTACGTTTTACTTTATTTTTCCTTTCAGTCAGATTGTTCCAAGTTTTTTTTTTTTTTTTGGATAACATATTGTTCAAGTTTTTAATTTAACTATTATACGTAAAAATAATATCACATATATTGATTATATCAATATTAAAATTCAGAATTAACACTCATAAACCGTAAATAATCGCATATTAATTGAGACTCTGAGTACTAAGTCATATTTAAAATGCCAAAAGAGATGATAGAAAAAATGCAAGTCA